TTTGGGGATTTAAGGATTTGGTCATTTGAAAATTTGGGGATTTAGGATTTGGTCATTTGGAAATTTGGGAATTTATAAATTTGGAAATTTAGGGATTTGATAATTTGGGGCTTTGGTCATTTGAAAATTTGGGGATTCAGGGATTTGGTCATTTGGAAATTTGGGGATTTAGGGATTTGGTCATTTGGAAATTTAGGGATTTGGTCATTTGGAAATTTGGGAATTTATAAATTTGGGAATTTAGGGATTTGATAATATGGGGCTTTGGTCATTTGGAAATTTGGGGATTGAGGGATTTGGTCATTTGGAAATTTGGGAATTTATACATTTGGGAATTTAGGGATTTGATAATTTGGGGCTTTGGTCATTTGGAAATTTGGGGATTTGGCTATTTGGAAATTTAGTAATTTAGGGCTTTGGTCATTTGCAAATTTAGGGACTTAGGGATTTGGTCATTTGTAAATTTGGGGATTTAGGGATTTTGTAATCTGTAAATTAGGGAATTTAGAAATTTGGAAATTCAGGGATTTGACAATTTTTTAACTAAAATAGAACCTTTCCATAAAACACTATAAAAGAACAAATACTAGAAAACAACCAGCAATAAAATAATGGAAAACAGTAAATAATTATAAAAATTACAAACAAGACCTCAAAGTTTTGAGAAGCTACACTTAAAGAAAAAATTGAATAGGAATGCAAGAAGAAAGTCTCAAAACGTGTCCGAAAAAAATAAAACACCTGCAGGAAGAGAAGTAAAGAAAAATGGCGGATCAGAACCTGAATGGAAACATGGCAAACAGGTACAGTGAGAATTAAATGATGATTGTCAGCAGGATGATGGCAGAATAATGAAAGCTTCTTAAATGCACGCGATCATTTAAACTTGTACAAGATTGCGGTGAAAATGAAGAATAAATATCAAAACATGTTACATGTGAATAAATTAACTGGCTTAATTAACAACCTCGTAACTTTATTTAATTCATCCTATTTTTTGTGAAAGGGAAATAAAAATTAGAACCTGTTCCTCTTTCGTTGTTTTTATGCTTTGAACAGCGGAAGAATGTTTATCGAGGAATTTCTATTTCTATGAACTTTTCTGGTAGTAATTTTTAATAAAATTTCTAACCTGAAAAGAAGTAAAAGTTGTAGAAGTATTGTACTCTTTGTAATTCAATTTATTAGTATTTCATTAATATTATTAGGTCTTGATAAACTAGTTGTAGGATTCTTTCTATAGACACAAGTTTTAATTTTTCATATTTAAAGAAATTTTGAAATTTTCAATTTTTAAATTGTTTGAAAAGGTTGTAATAATAAAAATTCATCAGAGATTTTGTCTAAATTTTACTAGAAATAATGCAAGTGAAGATGAAAGTAAATACTGATGCTGATTAGTATCATTAAGAGACACTCTCGTTATATTGCCACAAATGGTAAGAGAAGATTGCCGATAGCGATATATTGTATTGGATAAAAAGTCTTCTCCTTCAAAATTTCAGTAGATTTCATAAACCTTCACATTGTACTATAAAACGGCAATATAACGAGAGTCCACCATACTCCAATTTAACCAGAACAAAAGATTGCTCGCAGCATTATATTGCATTCGTCAAAAAGTCTTCTTCAACATTTCAGTACATTTCACAAACCTTCATGTTATACTATAAAATGGCAATATAACGAGAATCCACCGTACTCCAATTTAACCAGAACAAAAGATTGCTCATAACAATATATTGTATTCGTCAAAAAGCCTCCTCTTTCAACATTTCAATAAACTTCATAAACCTTCATATTTTACTGAAAAATGGCAATATAATGAGAGTCCGCCATATTCCAATTTAACCAGAACAAAAACTTACTCATAGCAATATATTATATTCATCAAATAGCCTCCTCTTTCAACATTTCAGTAGATTTCATACATTTTCATATTGTACTATAAAACGGCAATATAACAAGAGTCCACCATACACCAATTTAACAATAACAAAAAATTACAAGCTACATTACAATTCTATTCATTTACAAATAAATAAAAAATGTGTTATTACAACTTCAACAAAATAAATATAAATTTAACTGTATTAAATCAGCAACGATATTTGGCCATATAAGAGATAAAATCGCCCAATAATTAATTTCCTACGAGTATGCAAATTATTTCTACGATCATCGAGAGGAAGTTGTGGGTCAACTATGCGAACGTTTCAATTGATCGATGCAACGAAAGTTTATTCGAACAGATACGTTTATCAAACGATGCCAAATACAACTCCGGCTATCGATTCTTTGCTAAGGATATCTTATTACTGACATTGATAGCGTCGGGTCCTTGACAGTGGAATAATGGTCGTGGTTTTCGCGATAACATTAGGTTGTTGTAGATTATGCGCGTGATTGATTCCTACAATATTCAGCAACCATAAGTTAGTCACATGGTTCATTGCATTATACATTCTACAATACTGAACTGTGGTATAGATACTGCTATTTGTTTTATTTGAAGGATATCAAGTTTAGAGAATATGGGGAATTTGGTGATTTGGTGATTTGGGGATTTGGGAATTTAGGGATTCAGGGATTTGGGGATTCAGGTATTTGGGAATTCAGGGATTTAGGGATTCAGGGATTTGGGGATTTGGGGATTTGGAAAATAGGGAATTTAGGGATTTGGACATTTAGGAATTGGGGAATTTCAAGATTTAGAAATTTAGGAATTGGGGAATTCAGGGATTTGAAAAATTTAGGAATTGGGAAATTTACGGATTTGAGTTTTTGGGAGGCCAGAAGTTTTAGTATTTTAGAATTTTTTAATTCTAGAATTTTTGAATTTTACAACATTACAGCTGTATACTTTTACAGCTTTACAACTGTATACCTTTACAATTCTCCAACTTTACAACTTTATACCTTTACAACCCTACAACTTTACAACTGGATACCTTTACAGCCATATACCTTTATGACTCTACAACTGTATTCCCTTACAACTTTATAACTGTATTCCTTTATAACTCTACAACTTTACAACTGTATAGCTTTACAACTCTACGACTTTACAACTGTATTCCTTTATAACTCTACAACTTTAAAACTCTGTAAGTTCACCACTTTTCAGCTTTGCAGCTTTACAACGTTGCAGTCTTACAACTTTACAACCTTACAACTTTACAATTCTACAACCCTACAAGTTTTCAACTTTACAGCTTTACAATCTTGCAACTTTACAACTTTACATTTTACAATGCAGATATTTAGAAATTTAGGAATCATGAGCTTTAGGATACTTAAGAAATTTGAGAAATTTGCACAACTAACCAGAAAACTTGAGAATCAGAAAAATGAAGAACATCTTTAAAACCATATATCTCAATGAGTCAAACAACCTTTGCTTATCTCTCCCAACTTCCCTCCATATTCCATACATTATTTTTGCACACACACGTGTCACATACCTACAATCTGGTTTAACTTTTACCAGCAACATTGTATCTCCGATCATAAACCTGTCCACATCGAAGGAAAATAAAAGCAGAATTTTTCATTCATAAATACAAGATTGTCACGGATTTCATTCATCAGCGCAACGAATCTTTATGCTTTCCCATCCAAACAGAAAATGAAAAGTTATAGAGTTTGCCAGCCGTAATTCAAGGCCTGTAGTTTCTATTAACCAGTCATGCAGCTCGATTCCGAAGGCAACAGCCGAGGTCTCTCCCCGGAGTCGCTTCAGGAGCGAGCAAGGTGTAATGTCGAATCGATGTACCATAATCGTCCGGACTTAGGTGTCTTTCGTTCCGAGCCGAGTCTTTGCAGCCCACGGAACTGGTATACTAACTGGTGTACCAGTACGTGTGCTCATGTGCTGATTTTATGTACCGGGTGAAACGTTTCTTGGTTACCCTTTTCTAACGATATCACCTGCTCCTCTTTGTCTTATCGTTCTAACTTACTGTCCAGTAAAAATATTTCTGTTAAAGCACTTTTTGTACTTTCAACGAGGAGGTTCTTGTTTAAATAGAAGAATGAAGAAAAATAAATTTGAGTTTGTTTTTTACTGAGTTGATGTAGATGAGAAAGCAATTTTTGTAAAGTTTGAAGAAGAGATTTTATGAAGATTTATCTTAGCAGACTTTTGTTAATTTTTTAAGATAATGTATTAATCTGTGCTAATTTTATAAGGTGAAAAATGTATTATTCTTTGTTAGATACTATTGTAAAATATGTGATATAATATAAAATGTGAAATGTATGATACAGATGTATCACATAAAATATACATATGTAATGTATGAGTAAATGTGTACAATATATGTATATACAGGGTGTGCTAATAAAATACATACATCAATATTAATATTGAACATACATGTAAAAATTAAATTATTGGATGAAGCATGTTTTGAACATCTTTGCTAATTTTAAAAAATTAAGAATACATCAATTTTTGTTGATAGTGTTACTGTAAAATATGCAATATAAAAGTATGTGTTCATATACTACATATCATATATGTGAATAAAAGTTGTGTTATTAAAAATGTTATTATGTGTTATTGAAAGAAATCTCATATGTGAACATTAACATACACACACATGTATATAATAATTTGTTTAATAAAAATATATGTTCTCATACTTGATATTACACATCATATATGTGAATAAAAGTTGTGTTATTAAACATGTTACTATATGTTATTAAAAAAGATCTCATATGTGAAAATAAACATACACATATGTACACATATAATAATTTTTCTAATAAGATGTTAATGTTCAGAACTACCAATATTCTATGACATATCAACTAATTTAAAAAAGGTATCAACTAATTTACAGCACCCAATAACAATAACAGTATTGTTAATGAATGAAATCTGATACAAAGAATAATTTGCAGCAACCATTTTTACACCATTATGGTCAACATTAAATATCAATTTCAATTTTATTGTAATAATCGACCAGAATATAATGAACAGTACTTACACTGAAATTGCTTTTCAGGCAAAATGGCAATTTGCAGCAGCTTGCTCATCATTCTGCGATTATTATTCGTCGTCGCATCATCAACGGTACCAGGAACATGGATGTAAGTACTTCAATTTTCCTAAAATTACAAATTTCTTGGATTAAGTATTCTTAACATTCAATCTATTCTTTTAAATTATCGTGTAGATATATATCTAATCTGTAATGAATCTGTTTAGAGTGAGTCTTTACATTCATAATTTAAAAGGGGTGCAGGTTTTATGTCTCATCAATTTGATATAGATGCACAAATAATTGTAAAATTATTAACTTCAATTTTTACTGAAATTTTTTACGATTATCAATTTAAAGCTTGAAATTCGTTGTACTAATTTATAATTTTAAAAAATGTAAGTATCGTTGCGTGTAAAGGTGTATAACCTTTCACGGTAGATTTTGTTCTCGTTAAAGTTCCTTTTAAAAGGTTATTAGGCTACAATCAACCGTACACGTGATTATACTGATTCAAATCTAATTAGACCGTGATAGAGATGAGATTAAAACGGCGACATTAAGTCCGTCGAATACTTAGCTTAAGCCCACATAAGAAGGATTAACTTTCATGGAGATCCTATGGGACCCGCCCATGTGATTAGGCATTTTTTTGATCGGAGATGCTTAGTGGAAGGATTTTAAAAAAAGAATACGATAATGACGGGGAGGGCCAATAATCACTTATCAACGATCGAATTCGTTTGTATTATCTCTTGTAGTTCGAATTTTGTTTTAAAAATTATTGATTACTGAATGATTTTATTACTGAATGATTCATTTATATATGATTTTATTACTGAATGATTCAATTTTTTAAATTTCGAGATTTGATAATTTAAAAATTTGTGACCTGAAAATTTAGAAATTTATTATTTTAATAATCTAGAACTTAAAAAATTTAAATTGTATTAACTTAAAAATTTAAAAATTATTTAAAAATCAAATGACCTTGATAATCCAGCAATAACACACCAGCAAAAGAATTCATTTCCCCAAAAGAAAATAAATTATCATTTTCCAAGAAAGGGTGCACAACGGTACAAAGCACCCAACCTTTATTAAACACCGTCAGAGCGGTAAAAATCCCATGCTCTGTTCAGAAAAATCCAATTATATGGCATAGCATGAAGGTCCTGTCACGATGAAAATTCCACGGGAAGAAAAACTGTAGCGAGCCGGCTATTCAGTGATTTGTCATGGACGTGCAGGGGTGGTAGTCAGGGGTGAATAAGGGCAGTTCAAAAATTAGACACACCGCTGCCAGGGGACCTTCGAAAAATCTTTTCGATCGAGTTCCCACGACGTGATTTCGTCTCGCTTCGCACAAAGAGCTATAAATTATGGCGTTTGCGTGGGTAATTTTTGCTTGGAATGAGGGTTCAGCAGCTTTCTACAAATTTATTCATTTATCGGAGTTGTCATCGGATCTTGAAAGTAATTGGTACCAAGTTTATATCTCTGAAATTATTTTTATATTTCATTATTTTTATTTAGCAATTTTTTCCTTAAAAAAGATTTAATTTAAATTTAAATTTAATCAAAAATTGTCACCTGTATAAACCCTACATTAGTATCTCAAACCTCCACGTCCTCAAGTTCAAAAATGGCGGAAGTCTACGTCCCGCCAAAAGTTTCCTCTTTACCTCAAATTCAAAAATGGCGGAAGTCCGCGTCCCGCCAAAAGTTTCCTCAATTTCGAGCACCCTCCAAACCCCTGCCTATCGAAGACTGTAATCCAACTTTCGCAAATTCGCCACGCTGATTATACGATTTCGGTCGATGGTAATCCGTGGGCGAAGAACAGTTCTCTGCACCGATTTTTGATGGCACATTTGCGAGTCAACCGAGCGAGATGATGGAACGATGCCGTCACAGACAGAAGTCAGGGGTCTCTAACGGGGCTACCAATCTGAAATTCGAAATGGTTGCTCGTTTCAGCGATACGACACACTCCACTTGCTCTATATCGCCAAACGTGCATACAATGCGTCCTAACACCGAGGATTACCATAATTCGATGGGAAAGCTTTCTACTTGTTTCACTTATATTTTTATAGACGACGAACTGTCTAATCTCTTTTGCACTAAAATGGCGGTATATTCAAAATTTGAATAGCAATTCATAAAAACAGCGGTACGTTGTAATAAAATGAATATATAAATTGTAACATTATAAACTATAACAGTATAAATTGTAACACTATAAATTTTAGTAAAAAATCAAGAACTAAAAAACAAATTTTATTTTCAAATTATTTATGCAAGTTAAAATTTGTGATTTAGTAACTTTCCCGCCATTTTGTATAAAGAATATTAGTTAATAGTGTAACAGTTTGTATTAAACTTCCAAGGTATTATGTCCATTTATGTCCAATTTATATGATAATTACATGTCATTTTATATTTGATGTTTTTAAAAGAATTTAATATGATGAGACGCCAATGGCAGTCACTAAATCTATCGAGGTAACTGGTCGTTCTTTATTATGGTCTATTACATATGGAAAAATAATAAATAAGGAAAGAATGAGTTTGTGAGGGATACAGTTTACAGGCTTTCTCATGCTACACTATGTAATAGGGAGTGCATAATAGAGTGCATTAATATTCTGAAACACGTTTTGGCCGTGATATATTATCAGCTTTGCACTCCCCTAAAACAATGATGCAGGGAATCATGGGAAGAGAACGATAATATTTCGAAGGATCCTGCCCACGCAAATTCATGGGGCACTGTAGGCTGTGCCGTCCCAAAAAGTAATGCCTTGTGTCTCCTAAAAGATTGTAGCAAGTCTTATGGTTTCACGTACCGGGTGTTCTAATTAACATTTCTGGATATTTTTATTTTTACCTCTTTAATATTGCGTTGCTGCTATCTGGATTATTTACCATAACCTATATTTAAGGAATGGGGTAACACACTTTCATCATCTTAAACAATGAAATCAGTAACATTTTGTTTTTAATAAAAATTTATATTGTTTAAACACAGATGACATGATACCCAAAGTGTTCATTATTTTACCTGTAAATGTTTTAAAAAATGTCACACAAAAATTTGAAGTACCTACTGAATTGCTAAGTCCCCTAATACACACTCCACCGACTACCTTTTTATCCAAAAAGGTTAAAAAATTAAGGTACGCATAAACAGAAGTGTAGTTTCATTTTAAAAAGTCATTAAAATTGAAAAAAAATGACCACATATAATAAGGAAGGAATAACGAAATTCTTTTACAGAAAGTGACAACAAAACAGCAATGAAATGGTCGACAGGTTTCTCCTCGCGTAGGTTGAGGCGAAAAAAATGTCTCGAGGCCACCCTTTAATCTGACCGTTTCGATATCATGGCGATTCACGAAGAAATAATGTCTCCGAGAATAAAGCGGCGTGAATCAATTCGTTTCTGTACCGAAACACATGCACGTTCTCTATGCACCTGGAATCTAATCTGGAATACTGGCTCTTAGTCGTGACTTAAGGGGTTGTTACGTTGATACCGGAGGGTAGATTAGGGCAACGTATTATTTTTGTTGCAAAATCGTTTTATCGTGCGTACACCTTTGTGCGAGTATCGTTACAATGTCACGCGGTATGTAATTAATTCGTTAACTTGTTTGGGAAAAGTTAGTCCTTATCGGATTAAACCGTGTACAATGAACTCGTTCATTTAATTTGTATAATTTTCTTTATATTTATAATAACAATAAATACTGCTGTTTATGTATTTCATTTATTGTCATAGAACAAGGAAGCTATTACTAATAATATATTTATTATATCTTCTATTTATTATTACTGTTATTAATAATATATTTTTTATTATATCAATAACATGGTAGTATTTAAAAAGTTTGTAATGGCCATTAACAACTTAAGTTATAAAATTCTAAGAGTGGAAGTGCAAACTCATAATGTTGTCATTATAACATTATCTCTCATTAGAGATGGTTATTGACTGCACTAGCGTCATACTTTATGCATATACATAATGTACATAAATAAACTAAAAAATGCGCATTTATATTCTGCAAGCTCATTACTTATTTCTACAATTTGAATTTACATGAAATATCTATAGATGTAGCAGTCTTATGTAACTATAGAGTACCATATGGCCCCTATTGAGAAACCATAGTAGTAACTAATAATGTATTTTCAGAAATGTTGGCCTGCAACACTTCCCACAACTGGAAGCCCAAATGATAGAAACCTACGACATGACAGCGTCCAACATTTGCCACGGGCTGAAGGGTCTATCACAGGGCCAAGGGAAGCTTTGTCAGCTGTCCGTGGATCACATGCCGAGCGTGGCAAAGGGTGCAAGGTTTGGGATCGTCGAATGTCAGCATCAGTTTCGTGACCGTAGGTGGAATTGTTCCACTGTTTCTGACGAATCTGTGTTTGGACCTATACTTAGAATAGGTAGGACATCTTTGTAAACACCGGTATACCCTTAAAATGATCATTGGCAATTTTGAAAATTGAAGAGCATAGAAGTAAAGGAGCATAGTCATCTAAATCAACTGCTAGGTTTTTGTATTAACTCTAATGATAAAAGTTTCCATCAAACTTTATGACACTGTAATATATCCTATATTCCAATAAGCCCTACAATTTGTGGGGTCAATATACAACTTCATTTAACTGTACATAGGAAAATGTATCTCTTCTTTATTGGTAGTCTTTAACTTATACTCTTTTCTTCTTTGAGTGGTATCAAAGTAATTACTGCAATTCCCATTTACTGTTGAATGCCATCTGAAAATTAAATATAGTGCTTACAAATATTCAACATAAGAAGTTAAAGTTTGTTAAGAACCACAAGTTGGCTAATCAGTAATTTACCTACTTTAAACAGCCAGCAGAGAAACCGCGTTCGTTCATGCAATTACCGCTGCAGGAGTAGTCTACTCGATTAGCAGATCCTGTAGAGATGGCCAATTATCCTCGTGTGGCTGTTCAAGAAGTAGCAGACCCAGAGATCTAAAACGAGATTGGATTTGGGGTGGTTGTGGGGACAACCTCGAATATGGCTACAAGTAAGTTTTCTTTTAAAGTAGGTTTTTTTTTTAAATTAATGATCACTGTTTTTCCTCTTCCAGATTTACACAAGCATTTGTAGATGTAAAAGAACGTGAAAGAAGCTTTAAAAGAGGTAGCAGAGAACAAGGCAGGAGTCTGATGAATCTTCATAATAATGAAGCTGGCCGAAGGGTAAACTTGAACTTATTTTACTTTTTAAAAAATGGAAGTTTTTTATAATTAGAAAACTGTTCATCTTTCACAGGCTGTTATTAAAAAATCTAAAGTCACATGCAAGTGTCATGGAGTTTCTGGAAGTTGCAGTTTAATTACATGTTGGCAGCAACTTGCATCATTTAGAGAAATTGGTAAGTAGTTTACTCCACATAAACTGATGGTATGCAGTTCAAACAAGACGAGCTGATTTTTGTTATTTGGAAGTAGTAAGAAACATATTAAATTATATAATAATCTTTGCACACTTTTAGGTGATTTTCTTTTGGATAAGTATGATGGAGCAACAGAAGTTAGAGTAAATAGACGTGGTCGTTTGTCCATGAGAGATCCAAGATTTTCATTACCCACAGCAAATGATTTGGTGTATTTGGATGACTCCCCAAACTACTGTCTCCCTAATGAGACCCTTGGATCATTAGGTAAAAAGCACTTCATCAAATATGAAACTGAACAATTTACAAAAAAAATCACCTATTTTCCAAACTGATAATATGACAAATTATATCAACCTGTTAAAAAGTAAAATATTTATTAGGTACATATGGAAGAATTTGCAACAGAACATCTTCAGGCATGGATGGATGCAATCTTCTTTGTTGTGGTAGGGGTTACAATACACAGAAGTCAACTGTGAGAGAAAGATGTGAGTGCAAGTTTCACTGGTGTTGCTATGTCGAATGCAAGACTTGTGTTAAAAATATAGACATTCATACATGTAAATAAAATTCCAATCAGTTTTAGAAATACTTTTAAGAACAAACGTTCCCTTTTGTAATTTCAGATAAACTTAAATTAATAAGAATAATTATAGTTACACTGTATATATGCACACCTCTTAATATTATAATAAGTGTTTAGTACAGTACCTTAACATATCTATAATATAATGATATAAGTAATCTCTAGAAAATTTCCTGCCATATACAACTTAAAATACATGTTCCAATTTTTAATTTGTTCGTATTTATAATTAGTGTTTCTTCCAGCAGTTAAACAAATTCAAAGAGAATAACTACAGAATGAACTCAATATTTGTTAAATCTATAAAAAGTTCTATTCCAAATCAAATGGAGAAATATCCTTTATATAAAAGGAAGTTTAAATATTTTCAATGTTATCTTCTTAAAAATATTACTCATAACTTTATACACTGATATTAATGAAATAATTTATTAATTTATAAACATATTAATCGACATGTTAAGTGGCCTATGAAACTTATGTACACAAAAATTTTGTATCATGCTCAAATAACTACATAATTTTACAAAATATTATGTATCTCAAACCAAATCAATAATTTCAAACGACTGAATCTGTGATTTTATAAATTTAAAAAGTTCACTTGTCGATTTTTTCGAATAATATTATCTTTTATTTAGAGTTATAATATATCACTACAGTATTATCTTTGTAAGGAAATATTTTGTATTACCATAAAATATATCTGCCTAATATATAGTATTAATATTATTTTACATTTACTAATATATAAATAGGGTAAATTTTACCTAGTTACATTTGAAATTTTTGTATACTGTAAGTTTGTTGTATTTGTCACAGACCAACGTCTGTTTAATATGAATATGATTATTTATTGCTATTTTTATCTAATGGATGGTATACAGACTTACATATGTCAAACAAAACAAAAGCTCAAATAATAAAAAAATAATACCTACATATAAAAGTTATTTTACCTCCAGTGCTCCTCTTCAAAATTTTTATACTATAGCAGATTTAGCAAATTCATATCAAACACAAATCATGATTTATAAAATCACTATAATTGAGGTATAACCCGAAATGGCATACATAAAAATAATATAACTTGCATTTTCTGTTGTATGCTATATAATATTTCTAAATTATATTTACATATATTATATTAAAATATCTAAATTAAGATTCATAAAATTCCCAAGGCTTTTCCCGACGATAATTATCTGTAGGTTTTGGATGTTTATATCTTGGTGGTTCTTGTAAAATGACTCCATGTTCTTCCATTTCTGTGAATAATAATTTCTTGTTCTGGCTAGCTTCTGCAAAACCTTTATAATAAAGCTCACAAATTCCAGATTCTAAGCAACGTTGTGCAATCACAGCTCCCAAATACTTATGTGCTACAGCATCATGACCACTGAAACATTATTAGTATTATTTCGGTATTTCATTTTATGGAAATATATTATGCATTATATATATATCCCATGTGGCATGGAACATGTTAACAAAATTTTAGTCATTATAAAATATACATAATTCATTATAAACATGAGAAAAGATATCATAAAACTATGTCAATAGCAGCCAGCTATAAACTTTGACTTAATAAAGAACTATATTGCTGACAACCACCTAAATAATACATTAATGTTCCAAAACAATAACTGCTTAATTTTTAATATGTACTAACTTGTATAATTGTTTTCTTATGCCCCATTCTTGTGTGGATGCTATAATAACTGGCCCATTCTCAAAATGATGTACTTCTGCTTGAATATAACGTTGAGTCTGGTTTATGACTAATCTATACAAATATTAATTGTACTCTTAAAAACGTACATGAATAAGATATTATTAAGATTGTAATAACAAAATTATGTTAAAATAGTCAGTTTACTTGTGCCAGTATGAAATACCAGGTTTGTCAAGAACGTAACCTATAGGCTTCCTAGCAATCCTTAGTCGTTCCAAATTTCTTCGATTACGATTTCTGATTTCTTTACAATTTTCTACTATTTCCGCATTACTATGCATTTGTCTTTTAAAAAGAAAGTTACTAATACGATTTCTTAAAGACATTATAAGGTTTGAATCGTTATTATGGGATCAAAAAGTAAACATGAAATATAACATGCGCATAGGTTAGGTATTATTTGGAGGTTGGAAACTGCTACCAATGAGTATGATCTTCTGTGAAACAAATTCATTACCATAATATGTAAAATCATCAATATATTTATTACTCCTTATTAAAGAAAAACAATTCAAGTTAAAAATATACCTTAAATTATATAAAAATATATCGTTAGTAACGATACATCGTTACTAATGAGCAATAAAATTTTGTTTACCATCTATAGAGGACAGCACGATATATAGCACTTTTTGACGACAGAATGTATACATCTAATATGTTGTTTTTCTAAGTTTTAAACATAACCTACTTAGATATGAAAAACAGAAAGTGGGGATAGATCTGTTATTCATAATCAAATAAACTTATGTAGCAACGAAAAAAATTACTTAAGAAAGTCATTTCTATCCTTATACAATTAAAAACCTATTCATAATGGGTACCGTAGAATATGGTTTTCCAATGATTGGTGGTTTAATGCCAGTAAGCAAAAAATAATACATAAATAATTTATTAATACACAATTATTTTATGTAGTAAATTTTTTATTATAAAGATATATCATTTTTCATTTCTTTCTTACTATCAGCAAATTCAAGCTCTCATAGCACCGCCTGTATCTGAAGATTCTAAAGCAGCAAAAAACAAAAAGGACAAGGAAGAAAAGAAACATCCATATTTCAAAAGACGAGGTCGTGGTCATAATCGTGATATTTGTGATGCTTGTAGAGATGGAGGAGAACTTATATGCTGTGATAAATGTCCTGCATCATATCATTTGCAGTGCCAGTAAGTTTAGACACTTAGCGAATGAAAATGGTGCTACAGTAATTATAATGTCAAGACATCAGCATTGCAGCTTATTAGTTATGGTTATTGCATATCAATTTTCTATCATTCTTTTTATTTTTATAACTTATTATATAGAGATAAAAACACTAAACAGTATATAAAATATTTGTAGTTATCCAGCTGTGGATCCAGCAGATATTCCTAATGGAGAATGGTTGTGCTATGCTTGTCGTTGTGCATCTAAAAGAAACCTTCTAGATAATAAAGGAAATGAAAAAAACAAAAAAAAATCTGCTTTAGAAGTACTGGCTTTAGCAGCATCTTTAGTTAATCCAAGAGAATTTGAGTTACCTAAAGAGTTGCAATTACCCATAATGTTTCCTGGTAGTAATAAAGTAGATTATGTTTCGGGTAGAAGAGGAAAACAACACAGTGGAACTAATAATGGTACATGTAATATATTTATGAACATTTATTACATAAACTAATTTCAGTGTCAGTAATATTTTTGTTATCTCAGTAGGGAAAAGTCACTGTTTAGATAACAATTTAATGGTGCCTCTACCAGCACGTTTATGTTTTGAGTGTGGTCGTAGTTGCAGAAAGGCACCTTTAATAGCATGCGATTATTGTCCATTATATTTTCATCAAGACTGTTTAGACCCTCCACTCACCGCTTTTCCTATTGGGAGGTGGATGTGTCCTAATCATCCAAACCATTTCATAGATCAAAATTTATTAACATCATGTAGAGTAACAGAACGTATTAAACTTTGGGACAAGTATGCTAATCAACGTATAGATCAACATGCAGTGAAATTAGATTTCTTACGTAAAGCACGAGCAACAAATCCACTTTTTCGCACAAAAGTTAAATTAGAAGGTCGAACGAGAATAAAGGTTCCTTGTTCTGTAAAATTTCATTATGAACATCCACCAGAATTAGATCCTGTAAGATTTTATCATGATACTGTCATAAGACCAGTAAACAAAAATACTAAAGTACAAGATACAGAGAACAGTGACAGTGGAGACTCTAAAGAAGAGAGTATAGAAGTAAAACAAACGGAAGATTTAATGGAAATAGAAAAAGAAGTAGAAGAAAATAATGAAATAAAACAAGAAAATAATCAAGAAGACACAAATAACGAGACTGAACATAATAAAAACGTAGGACAAGAAGATGTAAATGAAAATAAATGTAATGACGATAATAGTATCGAATATTATGCAGAACATTATGGTTATAATGTAAAAGAAGGTGTACAATTACTAGAAAGACCAGTATTAGAAGCATTAGCATTACAACGGTTAGAACAAATATTAGATCCAGATGGAGAAAATTATGATACAATTAACTGCCAGACGACGGCCAGAGCCGCGTTATTTTCTTTGAACAAGAAACCTAAACCACCAACTTTCATGGTTCATAAAACATTAACTATTGGAAGTGGTCCCAATTGTGATTTAGTTTTATCCAATTATGGTAATTGCAGTTTTACATCATCAAAGCATGCAATTATTTTCTTTGACGAGGTAATGATATATCCAATTGTATTTTTTATGTCCTTATAGAATTCCTATTAATAATTATTTTTAATCTTTTTTGGTGTGCAGAGTACGAAACGTTATGAATTATTAAACTATAGTGAATATGGAACAATGGTTGATAATGTACTATATTCTTGTAATTATTCTGGAGTGGTAGAGCAAGTAAAAGAAGAAACTGATGATAAAACGCAATTACTAAGTAAAGAACAGGAAACGACAGAAGCAGTGAAAGCTATTATAAAGGAAAAAGTTTTGTCTCAAGAACTAACAGAGAGGAAAAAAGTATTATGTAAATGTAATTTAACAAAATACGAGACAAAGAATAAAGATTGCTTAGAAGAGGGATGGGAAGGAAGTGCTATTGTTGCTCATGGATCAACATTAGCATTTGGATGTTTAATGTTTGTATTTAACACGATAAATCCGCATTTAGAACGGTGAAATTTTATAATGTAAATATTCAATCATTTCCTTGTACAGATATTTTCGTAAGCTATCAATAATTAAATTAATGAAACCAATTTTTTGTTCTATTATCTTAGTAATATAAATTGAATGCCAGATAAATTTGTAGAAAAAATACTTTATTTACTAAAATTATTTTCACGTATTCGTATCATAATTTACATCATTATCATCATCTTCAGTGGGTTCATCAAAGTCTCTAATTTTAACATCTTCATCTTCCCCATATTGAATTATATTATCAATTGTTAATTTAATATCTGCCATACTTTCTTCATCTTTTATATTTAATGGATAGAAACGAACTAAACTGTAATCTTCTATGAGTCTTCCTATAGCTTCACTAAGATTCCTATATTTTTCATTCCAAGAATCTTTTTCCATATCTGCCAATAAACTATGTGGATCAGGTTCTAAATATTTATCTAGTTGCTTTCTTGCACTTTTTGATAATAAATCCATTTTACTAAGAATGTTAACATGTGGTAATTCTAAATTAATCATTACACTAAGTGCAGCCATTGTGCCTGATAAAAACTTTGATCCGTCAACCATAAATTGACTATCTACTAAAAAAATTCCACAAATACGAAAATTGAGTTTCTGTAACATTGTTATTAACTGACGAATGACTGTCATATGTGTATACAATTCTATTTGCCCTGGACAATCAAAAATAATATAGTCATCATCAACATCCCCTAGTTTTTCTTCCAACCATGATGAGTTTTCTATTAAATATCTGGAAACAAAATTTTGAAATAATGTATGGTTAAAGATTATTTTTGAATAATTTATTATAACTAACTTACTCCATACAAAACACAAGACCACCATTAGGTCCAAACCGTAATTCATCATCTTCCATGGCATCATCCAACTGAATTAATTCTCTTATATCAACTAAAGGTTCATAATCAAAATATTCTGCTGCTGGATCTAAATTCACGACCTCTATTACTTTTCTTTCATCAGCTGCCTGCTGTTGCATAGCAGAACAGTATGTAGACTGCAAAAAAAATTGTATATTAATTTGATTTTATTATATGACCAAAATTAAATGTATAAATATACAAATAAACAATACCTTTCCACTACCAGCAGGTCCCATTACAAGTTGAGCATATCTCATTTTGTTTTCTCTTTATTGTTCAACTTGTGTATTAAAAATTGAATAAAATTAACTCTTTATGTATAAATTCCACAAAACTAGATTTTCCAAGATCTACAGAATAAACCTTGTGAGGTTTTGATAGAGAAAGGTGTATACAATAGGTTAGTTTTTAGGTTAACATTTTTACACTTTAGTATAAATGTAAAGATTAAAATGATGCAAATTATTATAAAAAAGATAGAATATTTTTATAATTTTTTGTACCAGAAGTTAATCACATTAAAGGTGGTACTAATTTAAAATGTTTTGTTACGATTTGACTTGTTGTTTTCATCTGTCAAGTGCAGATCCGGCATTTCTGCGCAAAATACTCGAAGCGAACACGTGCCTACATAAAAACATAAGATTTTTATTTCGATAGTTCTGTAGTTTACCGATAAATAGCGCTAGTAGTACTGTTTTGAACCCACGTGCACGAAAATACAAATTTTCGTAAAACGTATAAATTACGTAAAATGACATCATCTTCAGAAAAAGTGTTTATATATTATATATACCTATACATATATTAAGGACTTCACAGAATATTATAAAAATGCAATAATTTTTACAAACAATTTATTATCTATAATTTACAATAATTATTATTTAAAAATAGAATTCAGGAACTGATTTTCAAAAGAATATCATTAAAGATGAGTGATGAATATATTTAACTTCAGTTCACAGAAAACAAAATTAATTTTTGGAGTATTTATTTAAATAAAAATAGAAAAATAAATTTAATACTTTAATACATATATAATGAACTTATGTATATCTGTTTAACATGATATAAAATTATAAATTAACATACTTAAGTTTACTCGAGTAAATTTATAGATGCCAGAAATTCACCAGAGATGCAGTATAATTGGTGTGGTATTAAAAAGCGAAATTTAATGATCAAAAAACATTATCAAAAAGAAATATCCGTAACTTATAACAGTAGTTTACATAACATATATTACTTAAGTAGTTTTAAAGTGATCATCTGTACTTGTAGTATATATATGACCTTCAGAAACTAGAAAATCTAATATAGTATCTACTCTCGAAAGAATTGTTTTTGGTGCTTTTGCTTTGATTTCAGACCTCTCAATTCCAGACTCAGTATCATTTTGAGCATGTATGATTTTATAAATCAAACTTTGCTCTGATGTCATTCCATAATCAGCAGAATCTTCAACTGGTTTTGAACTTGACATTGTCATATTACCATTTGCATGACTTAATTCATTATTTTGTTTGGCCATTGCTTCAGCTTTTAATGCCACATAAGTAACTTCAAGTATGTGGTTTGTTAATTCGTTCAAGCTCTGTAATGGCCACATTCGTAAAATAAGAACATGTCGTTTATCATTTTGTTCCCTGAGTAAACCAACCAAACGAATGTATGTATTAACTGACATAGTACGATCTGTTGTTTTCCTATCTGCTTCTAACCACTTAAGTGCAACAATAGTACCTGAATACAAAAACAAAAAAGGAAAAGAAATGAAAAACAAAAAATAAAGTACAGAGGCAATGGTTCAGAATTAAAACAAACCTGTTTCATCCTCAATGTTGTATGATATTTTCGTTGCAGTTTCTTCGACATTACGTACAATTGCAACTAACGAAAACATACGTACAGGAATACCCCAAATTGTTACATCTTCGGTAGAGCCGGTAGAAAGCAAATGTCGTATCATAACAGGTACAGTAGTTTGTGCTCTTCGTGTTTTTGTAGCATCTTGATCTTCCCTAGTGCTGTTATTTGCAAATCCACCCTCGAAAGTTGCACTACTATCTAAATTTGATGACCACATCTTTGTATATTTGATTCAATTACAATTTCTGAAACTTTGAATACTTTTGTTACACTGTTACAGTGTTAACCAAAGTCAGAATTTCCGCGCGAATGTACACTCATATATCACATATAAAACCTAGACTTGCGGCAAAACAAAATTTACTCTTCTACAAGTTTATGTGAGAGAGAATCGGACACGACACAAATATCTTTTTATTTTCGATATAAATTGTTAAAAAACAATATTACAGCTATTTTTATTTTAACTTTTAAATATACAAGTTTTAAAGTTGTATAAGTAAATATATATTAATCTATAGATGTTACAAACAATTAATTAATAAAAATATTTATGATAAAAATTTAAGGATAAAAACATGGAATAAAAGACAAGTCTGGTTTATTAATATTGCACATGATTTTGCAATTTATAATTATATGCAAAATGTACAAGTTTTTTTCTCAATAATATAGTTTTGATCTACAGTTTCAATTTTACATTGCAAATCATTTGCAAAAATGATTTGAAACGTATCTCAATCCTATTCAATACTTATATTTATTGTGAAACTAATTATTATTTTATGCAAAAGAACATGAGCTAAAAAATCAATGTAAATGTGCCTTGCGATATGACCATGTAGCAGATGAAGGAAAAGTTTGGTTTGTTGATTTAAAACTATCATAAAAAGTATCATGGCGTCAAAGACCCATGTGGACCATACCGTTAACGAACGTCGTTTACGTCCAATATACAGTAAATACGCTATTAGTATTTCCATAAATGATGTAGCTTTAATTTTTTGATTTTTATAAAAATTAGTTTTTTATTATTTTACCGGCAATAAGGTTATGTAACATTATTATACTATGCATTTCAGATTGGTTGGATAATGGAAATAATAAAAAAGCTCTTCAAGAAGCAGATAAAGTGCTTAAAAAGCAACCAACTAATCAGTGTGCCAGGGTGCTCAAAGCTTTGGCCTTATTACGACTTGGCAAAGAAAATGAATGTCAAACTATTATGGATAAAGTACGCTCAGAAATTCCTTGCGAAGATTCTACACTGCAAGTTATGAGTATTTGTTACAGAGAAAGACGTCAGCGTAAGTTGAAATTACATTCTTCAATTTTGTGCTTTAAGATTATTATAAAAGTGATTGCAAATTATAATTTTAAATTTGTTTGCTTGTAGCTGATAAAATTAGTGAAGTATACGAAGCTGCAGCAAAAGCAGATCCTAACAATGAAGAGTTATTAACACATCTTTTTATGTCTTATGTTCGTCTTGGAGACTATAAGAAACAACAACAAACGGCACTTGCCTTATATAAATTGAAACCAAAAAATCCTTATTATTTTTGGGCTGTGATGAGCATAGTTATGCAAGCTATACATGCAGATGAAAACTTAGCTAAAGGAATTACTTTACCTTTAGCAGAAAGAATGGTTTGTATATTATTATGGAATTAATATATCAAATAGAATGCTGTATTTAAAATTATAATTAATATCAAATTAATGAAAATTAGGTACTAAAATTAGTTAAAGAAGGAAAAATGGAAGCAGAACAAGAAGTACAACTTTATTTAATGATATTAGAACTTCAAGATAAAAGTGAAGAAATGTTAAATGTTTTATCTGGACCCTTAGCATCACATCTTTCATCTGTGTCCCAACGTAAGGCAGCACTTTTATTAAAATTAGAACGTTTTCCTGAAGCTGCTAGTGCATATAAAGAACTTATTAGTGAAAAGTGAGTATAGTGTATGCAGTTTTACTTGTAATACTATTTTAACATTGATGATTTATGTGTTGCGAATAGTACAGACAATTGGGCATATTATAAAGACTATCTCTTTGCTGCACTTAAATTTCAAAAACCAGAAGAATGTTTAAATTTTCTTAACAAAATTATAACTATGTCGGAGAAAACAGTAAGAGCTCCTTACCTTGCAAAATTCGAATTATTAAAACGTACTAAAAACGGAGAAGTTATTGAAAATTGTATTGAACCAGTAGATTTAATGTATCAATATTTCTCGAAATTTGGGGAAAAAGACTGTATAGTTGGAGATTTGCGACTTTATTTAGATCTGTTAACTCCTACTGGAAAACAACAGTTACTTCAAAAAGTAAGTAATATAATGGCAAATGTAACAGAAGTTATATAAATATTCATAAATTATCGTAGTGTAAAAATAGATGTATTACTTTTATAGATAGAGGAAGATGTAGGTGTTAAGGCAGAAGGTTTTCCAAGCACTGTACAACAAATGCAGAAACACATTCACTTAGAACAATTGCGACGCATTTGTGGTTTCCATCATTCTCCAAATGCTGATATAAACAAGCAAAAACAATTGATAGAACGATTATGTAAATTATACGAAAAGGGCAATGAATTGTGTCCAATTCAAGAAAGATTACCAACAGATTTTTGCCCTGCAGATTCTTACATTCTTTTAGCTTCACATTTATTACATGAATTATTTTATAATACAAATGACGCAGTTTATCTTTACAGGTAATATTATTTACTATACAGACTTTACTTACATTATAAGTAAAATGAAAAAATGATACAAAAATAATGTACTTTTGCAGGGCAATGGCATTATTAGAACGTGGTTTATTATCGAGCCCTGCAAATTTCCATATAAAAATTTTACTAGTACGAATATATTTAGAAGCTGGATTAGTTGGGGCAGCCGATCATATTTTCACGTTATTGGACGTTAAACATATTCAATTAGATTCGTTGGGTTATTTACATACACCATTACTTGCTCCACTTGGCCACCTTTCGTTAGCTTCCATAACTTTAGATCATGCTACTAAATTTTTCATTGCAAATTACAAAGATGTATGTATTCATATAATACAAAACTGCTCTAGATAGTAAGACATAATTTTTTTTAATTTTTATTGTTGTGTAACCAGAGCGCGGATCATTTAACGTTCGCCTATAAATATGGAAGTTTTGTAAAGATTCAAGAATTTGTGGAGTTAAAAGAACGATTGGAAAATTGTTTTCAATTTGTCATGACTACTTTAGATAAAATGCTTTTGGAATTAAGTTGGTGTAATAGCCCTACAACTTTGATTTCTACGTTAAGTAATATGGATATTCAACTTAAGGAGGATTCGATTCGTTTGAATTCGCTGCGGGACAACCGTGATTTAGAGGTAATTTATTATGAACTGCAAAATTAATAAAATAATTAATATGTTATATTTACATAGGTTGTTCGTGGGTGGGAACCACTCACAGAAAATGGCGAAGATCTCAGAATGCAAGAAGAAACACGAATTTGTATGTTAAGATTATTTATGGCGAGAAATTTAATATTGAAAATTATAGCAGCGTGTGTGGCACCCGATAGTTCCTCTCTTCTTACCCGTTTTTCCGACGAACTAAAGCAGTTGGATAGCGAAGAAATTCCTTCGATTCTTCAAGAGTTTGAACCAGAAGGAAAGCAAAATAGGCCATGTAAAATACTAGTTCCTATGGATGCAGTCGAAAGGTTACGTGAAGCCCATTATTCTGAACAGTTGAAAACAATTGCTCGACTTGTTGAATGTTTTGCTAATTCGCGTTACCCCGATTTTGAGTGCATTCAAATGTTACGTGCATCTCCATGCCTTCAGACAATAGATATCCCGGAGAAGGGAATTCCAGTGTCTTTCAAGCATTTTTTACTGAGAGCATCCACGTGTAGTGAATCTCTTGCAATTATTAGTGCCATATGTACTTTATGGGCGATGCAATTACAACCTCAGACTTCAGAGAAGAAAAATAAAAAGAAGTGTAACAAGCAAATAGCACATATTCCATTAAATGATAATGATCATGTAAGATAATTGAATAATTTCATATTAATATAATACTTTTTATTTTGTCATTTAAGCAATATATTGTTTTCTTACAGAATTGGAAGGAAATTGCAATATTACTTTCAGAGAAAGTAGATAATTTAGATTCAGTACTAACAGAATTTGAAAAGTATCAACTTAACACTGGACTAGATAATGAAGATGATGTTTGTGCTGCGATACTCAAACATGGTCAAGCCAGTTTAGGACAAAGTTGCAGATCGTTAAAGTCTCGAGCTCAAATCACGTTAAAGCTATTAAGCAGTTTAAAAAGCTGAAACTGTACAAACATTCTTGTACAAAGTATATCCATCCAACCATTTACTGATTTTCAAAGCTAACTCATTTATTGTGTACATAACTCTTAGTCCTAATCAATTATAAATATCGACTGAATTGTTTATTGCAAATTGAAATGATTTAAATTGTTTTAATTTCATATTAAATTCATGACTATTTAGTAATTTAATAGTTCTTCAATTAAACTATTTTTCCTTGAATATTTTTACCCTGAAATAGAACACACTGCCACCTTATGCGAGTTGTATTTAGAAAGAAAAGATTAATATATTTGACATAAAGTACAGCAGTTATAAAATTTAGCTCAATTCAATTTTAGTGATATACAAATGATAATTAAAAACAGTAGTCTATATTGGTTTAATATTACTGTTATTTATACATATTTTAAAATGAGTGTATAATTTTTAAGGCATCGTCGAAACAGTTGATATTAAGGCATCAATTATTACATAAATATTTAAAATATTTATTTTAAGGTAACAGTGTGGATCTTCTTAAAGTGTGTATAAATGATCATATGGATAAAACGTGTTATAATGTTGCAAAATTAATTAAAAAATAATTCTATTTTATTTGTTTTTCTCTATATTCTGTTAAACATTTTTTATTGTACTTTGCTTCCTTCACTGTACATGAATGAATTTATTATTTGTTAATCATGTAATTTGAGCAATCAGTTAACTAAATTGTATCAAATTAATAAATTGGATAAATTTATATCAAATTAAAGTTCATTATTTCTTACATTGCATGCAATAATATAATATTTATAATTAGTTTATTATGCAATAGATCTCTACTAAGAAATACATGATTTGTTTGCATTATTTCAAATAATAGTGGAAAAATATGAAATTAAAATTACTATTCGATTTCGTATCTAGTATATATAATTTTCTATGAAAGAGAACTAATAAAATTATCAACACTGGTGTATACAATATCAAAGAGTAGGGGTATCTAATCTTTGGTGTCAATGTGGAATATTGCTACAATGCATGTGAGATTCAAATCAATAGATAAAAATGTGTGCGAATAATAGAGTCTTTATCAATCTTCATTTTTAAACTGAACAATAAAAGGGAGTGTTGTTTGCATTTATAAAATAATAATTATTAAATTAGAGAAGATAATGTGGGGTAACCTAAATGCTACTGTGCAACACAACGCTTCAGGCGGATTTTTGAATGATAGTAATATTTCAAGAAGAGAAAATAGTAAAAGAGTAGAAAATGTCATTCCTATCATGATTAAACATATAACACAATCCAATAATGATTTACAACTTTGGGGAATGACAGTTCACATGATAACTTTTGTAGCAATTGTGCGAAATATTGGCAATACTAGTACAAAAATGACATACGAATTTGAAGATGAAACAGGTATTGTGACAATGTATTTTATTTATTTTATTTACAAAATCTTTATTTTTTAATTTTACTTACAGTGAGTTAAAACAGTGTTGACATATCCTGTTGTATAACAATCTTTTGATTTAACATTTTCGTTATGGAAAACAAATACCAAATAGGCATCAGGTATGGAACGAAAGCAGAAAGACAGCCTCTTACATAACGAACATGTTATATGAAGTAAATATCATATTGCGTTACATTTATTGTATTGTATTATATTGTACTATTTGTTAAAGTGCTATAGTATACATATTAGAATAATATTTCTGTCTTTAACTCTGACACTGTAAGGTAAACAGAAAGCAAGTGCTGCTGTCATCATGTAGCAGCAAAAGGGTTGATCATAATTGTGTCAGTGAAATTGGGTATGTTAATACCCTTTAATCCACTGTATCTTTAATTTTGAAATAATATTATTATGAGTAAACATTTATTATTAATTACTTGATATTTGACAGGTACTATTTCAGGTTTTCGCTGGTTGGAAAGAATGAATAGACCAGATACAAGCATTAATTTAAATAGTTATGTACGGGTATATGGACACATAAAGGAACAAAATGAAACAAAATATGTATTAGCTTTAAAGATTTTACCTTTGACTAAATTAAATGAGTTGACTACTCATTTGTTAGAAGTTAGTTATGTGACATTAAGAGCTGAAAAAATGTTCAATATTGAGAAAGAAAGGACTGGAGGAACAGCCACAAATGATGTTCTTTTAGAAGATAATAATATCAGTGGCTTAACTAAAGAACAGGCATTAGTCTTTAAAGCAATCCAAGCAGAAAATGACAGTGAAAATGGAATAGAAAGAAGGGTACTTAAGACTCGTATACCACAAAATATTTTACCATATGTGGATGACATAATTAATTTTCTAACAAGTGAAGGACATATTTATACCACGCTTACAGATGATCATTTCAAAACAACTTAATTTTAAATCACAAAGAGGAGAACATATTTTTATACAAGTGACTTCATGTACAAGTTATTTTATATAAGTGACATTCCTTTTTATGAAATAATATGATGAAGAAAAATTTATGTGATTTTTGCAAATTTATTACTGAGTATATATTATGTTTAAAAAATAAACATAAAAATGTATTATTTTGTAAGAAAAAACTGTAAATAATTATGTATAGAGATTTGTCATACATAAATAATATTTTATAAATAAATAACTATGTATATAGATATGTATTATATAAATATTTGTATTAAATTAACATGAAAATTAATTTTTGTTGTAATATTTGAAATTACTCACATAAATATATAAAATCGTTAATGAATTGATGCAATCCGTCCTCCAAAAATCCGCATTTTATTTAAAACTTTCGAGAATCGAAACTTTCGATATCGATATTTCACGTAAAGAATCATGAAATATAAAAACCGCATGAACTGTGCACGCACATTGGAAATCGAAAATCAAGCAGTTTACGATCTATTGTTATACATAATCAAAGATTTTGTTATGTATACAATGTTTTGTATAGGTTAAATAAGACACTCAAGAAAAAGAGGTATTTTTGCATTGAAGAAAAGACCAAACAACTCTATAAATTGCTTATAATTATAACAAAGTTACGCTAATTACAAAAACTGAATGATTCAATATCATTAAAAATTTCAGATACATTGTCAAAGGTGAATTGTTAATGCTACTCTAACCTTAAAAATTGATATGCATGAAATTCAAAATAAGTGATAAAAGAGTTGTTTAAAAGTTATTAATAATTAATGGTTATTTCTTACAGAAATTATAGAATCAAAAATGTCTGAGCCCGTAGACAGTTCTGATCCTCCTGAAAACTCTAACGAGTCAGCACAAAATTGTGCATCTAATAATGCTGGTAAGAAAAAGCCAGCATGTATTATTGTTCTTGGAATGGCTGGTTCTGGAAAAACTACATTTGTACAAAGACTTGTTTCAATATTATATAATGTAGGAAAGCCATATGTAATAAATTTGGATCCTGCCTGCAAAGAAGTTCCTTACCCTGCAAATATAGGTATCTCTAATATCATTCAATTTAATTTCATTGCGTTTCTATATAAATTATATCTTATTTTATACTTGATGTTTCAGATATTAGAGATACTGTTAATTACAAGGAAGTGATGAAACAATACAGTTTAGGTCCAAATGGTGGTATCGTTACTGCCTTAAATCTATTTTCTACAAAATTTGATCAGGTTATAGATCTTATTGGCAAAGCAGGCGAAGAGCATGAATATGTCATTTTAGACACTCCTGGACAAATTGAAGTCTTTACATGGTCAGCAAGTGGAACTATTATAACAGAAGCTTTAGCATCTGAGTTCCCAACGATTGTAGTATATGTATTAGACACTGTGAGAAGTGTTAATCCTGTAACATTCATGTCTAATATGCTCTATGCATGTTCCATACTTTATAAAACTAAACTACCGTTTATTGTTGCTATGAATAAGGTAATTAAGCATTTTAAATTCTATGCAATTAGGTATTAGATTGATTCTTGTGTTATTTCAAATTATACTACTACTAATAAACAATAAATTTTAAGATTGATATCGTCGAACATAGTTATGCGGTTGAATGGATGCATGATTTCGAAGCGTTCCAAGAAGCATTGGATTCGGAAACGAGCTATATCAGTAATTTAACTCGCAGTATGGCACTTACACTCGATGAATTTTATTGTCATTTACGTAGTTGTGGTGTTTCTGCCGCGACAGGCGCTGGCATTACAAAGTTTCTTGAGTTGGTTAAGGATGCTATTGAAGAATATAACAGGTACATTATATACATGAAAGATGTAAAATATATGTTAGCATAATATAAAAATAAAAATATTATACTTTTAATAAAGGGATTATAGAAAAGATTGGGAAAGAATGAAAATTAAACGAGATGCTCAAAGACAAAAAAGAGAAGCAGCACAGCTTGAGAAAGCAGCTCAACAAGGTGCAGGAGATAATGTACCATTAGTAACAGCAGTTAACAGTGGAAGAGAAATTTCAGATATATATTTAAAATATGCTGGCGATGAATCGAGCGAAGATGAAGAAGGAACGGAAAACCCATACAAGGATGAGGAGGAAGAGGAGGAAAAGAAAGAGGCAGAGTCCTTCAAAAACTTTTTAAACAGGCACAAAATGCACCAAAGCAAACATAAATCTAATCAATCTGCAACAACTAGTAATACATAGTTTTTATGGAAATAATTATTTTTATTTTTATAAATAAATTTTGTTTTAAAGAAGTGAATGCTATGTTCTATATGCATGTTATATATTTTTTAGTATGTATTTTATGAGTACAGTAATATTACTAATCTAAATTATGCACAGTAAATTATTCTAAGTTAAATACTATGATACTGATAATACAGAAAACTTGAATCATACAAAGTTTCATAGGCATTCAGTTATTTTTCGAGAAATCTGTCCATTTTACGTAAACACTGGGAATGAATCGTCGGTTCATCGAATTATCCTTTTTTGAAGAAATTGACACCGAATTTCTTGTAATCCAATTCATGTTTGATTCATGGGCTTGCGTAGCATATAAGTTAAGGCTGAATACTGAAATTTTTGTAATTTATTAATTGCAAAAAAAAATCAATTTTTACTAAAATTGGATATGCCATTGATTAGTACAGTGCCAAAATCAGAGCAATTTATTGTACTTCTTTCATAATTAGAATCATAATATGTTACAAATTAAGTTATAATACCTTTTTCATGGGAGTTTAAGGAGTTCAAGGAATGTTTGTCTTTGGTTTCATGGTTTTGCGTTTTCTGATATTCCCGCGATATCTGTTCTAAGGTTTTTGTTAATGCCAACTGGAAATAAAGCAAAACTAATTTACTTTCATGCAAATAGTAGATTTTGTAAATATGCTGTAAGACATTATTATTACATAGATAAGAGAATAAAGTAAATACTCCAACTGATTTAAATATATCTTTAATATTATTTACACTTTTAGTACACATTAGTATCAAGAAACTATTAAAATTTGAATGATTTTTACTAAAATAACTGTGTTCTGTAAATTATCTTTGTAGGAGGTAGAAGCTTATTTTTAAACAAATTTAGAGAGTGGCTAAATGTCCATAATTATTTTACAATTAATTATAATAAATACAGTAGCTCTTGTACTCTCCTTAGAAGGGAAAATATTCTACCTCCTGTCCTGCAAGTAACCTACTAATTAACAATTAGTAAATAAATAAAAATAAATTTTGTAACTCTTCCCTGACTGACAATGTGACTACACCGATGATAATAAAAAAACATTGGTATCAAAAAAGACTCTAGATTTTGACAAACATGAATGAACTACAAATATAAAAACAATAAAGCATGATCGACTTAAAATAGTTTTAATTACCCGACACATATGCAAACGCGACACGTGATCAGAGTCCTTATTCAAAAATTCTTCGGTGGTGTTTTTCGAATTAACACGATGACAGTGTTTCACCTTTCCAGCCGTTTTCCTGTAGACCCTAGACAGGAGATCGGGTCTTCCTGTCCGGAAGTTCTCGTGCAGAAACTCGTGCACGTCCGGATTATGGGAGTTGCAAATGGGATCCCGGTTGTGCGAGGTAACCTTCCGGAAGCCATAAAGGTTCAACTGTCTGATGAAGCTGGTGATGTTCTTCGTCTTGAAGATGGAGTTGCCCGCGTCCAAATATTGTTCCTGAAACTTCTTGTAGTCGAGGAGTATAGTGTTGCCGCTCAAACTCCACCGGATGGCACCGCTCTTGCATTCGTTCACGATCCGCCATAATTTCTGCGGAAATCGCAGCGACAGAAATATACAATCGTCGTACATCTCCGTTTATTCGGATAGAACGCGGGTCAAAAATGGACACTGCAAGATCGCGTCTTTCGCGAACAAAAAACTGTCGTATCACAGCAACAATATTCCTCGTTTTCGGAACGGTATTTTAATTATTTTTTATTTTGTATGGGATTGATTTATTTATGGAATATTTAGGGTTAGTTAAATTTTTATTTATTGTTATGGTAATGGAGATTTCGGTAATATTTTAATGCAATTAGGTGTATGTTGAAGAATTGGAAATTGAGAGGGGGATGGGGGGATTGGAATGTAACGTTCCATGCAGTGACGTAATTAGTATTTCTTGGGGGACCAAGAAATTAATATTTAAGGAGGTCAGAAATTACTGTAAATTTTACAGTCGCTATTAGGTATTTGTAAATTTATCTGGATAGTCACGTGACCTTCGAGTTTCAATATTTACTCATAGTATATATAAACTACGAATTTTGAAGTTTATTAATTTAGAAATTTGAATGTTTGAATAATCAAAAAATATAATATAATAATTTTCAAATATGAATATTTGAAATTCCCTTAATTTGTGAAAATAATTTCTGGAAATAATTTGTTAGTGAATGAAATAATTTGAGAAGAAATAAACGACGGGTCAGAAATACGTATATTACCGAATTTAATAAAAATATTATTTAATACAATGTATGCTAGTTTGCATTTGTAAAAATACCGAGTAATCGAGAGGAAATGGTGTTCAGGGATGAACAGAGGTCGTCGCATAAATTTCTTCGTGAAAATCGAAAAAAGTGAGTAGACAAATATTTTTAAGAATAAAAAATAAATTTTGTTAGATTTGTAATTGAATATGCGACGGCTCTGGGGAACAACAATCATGTACAATTTCCTATTTGTAAACAATCCTTCTAATTCTAATTAATAATAAATTATCGAAAGTATGTTACATTTCCTTAGCGCTACAAAAGTATTAATACTATTTCCTGGACAACGAAGGTTCGACGGTGCCGAACTTTCATGAGTTCCCTGATATCATAGACATTTTCTCAAAAAGATTCATGATTACCATAGACTGTATCTTTATAGGATTTCACAATCTTATCTTGCTGTGTATTAAATGTCTATCGTTTCGGTCTGAGATCTCCTCGCATGGAAGTCGTGAAGAGATTTCTCTCCTCGGATCCTTTGTGGATTTTACAATTAGTAAACTTCGAGTAAACTTTGTTACAAGATGTAACTTCGTTACCATAAACTTCATTCAATCTTTTAAAATTGATGAAGATTGATGAAGACACAGTTTTCGAATTTATATTAGGTACACTTATTGAAATAATTGCTGAAACTTGTGGCTAGTCGGCCATTTTGTTCGCAGCAATCTAATACGTTCGTAGCACGTTCTATGTTGTATAGAACTGGATGTCTGACAATTTTAGAATTTAACCTGTTGCGAACCATTGTATAAGTTTTTTTTAATTTATAGATTTGGAACTTATGAAAATTGAGACTATGAGGATTTGAAATTCTTGATCTTTAAGAGTTTGAAATTTTAGAATTTCAAGATTGTGGAACTTACGACTTGGTACTTTGGAATTTCTGAATTTTGAAACTTTAGTTTTGAGATTTTTAGATTGCAAGGTTTTAGAACCTTGAAGAATAATAAAACTATTCTTATAAATTAAAATGAGCAGGTCTAAACAATTCTAATTTTCCAAAGTAGTTTACCATAATACTTTGAGAAGCTCTGTTTCAGAATATAAAATGGCGGATATATGTTAACTTCCATGTCAGCCATATTTGTTTGTCTTCATAGAAATCAATTATCCTTATTATTAGTAATTCCTTGTTCTTAATGTTTGTCGACATAAAATTACTCATAATAATTATTAAAATACATGCTTGAAATTATGGATAATAGACACAATGAAAAATTAAGAAAATGCACTTGTAAAAGTAGAATCCTGTATCTTCAACATGGCAGTCACATATAAATCAAAATCTCATATCCTTTTCTCCACAATTCTCCACAACATCTTTTCTCCATAACCCTGATTCGCAAAAGGTTAATTCTAATAACATTCGACTTCATTTTGCGAGTACCATTTGCATACTTCTTACTTATCTTCTTACTGAATCCAATCGTAGCACACTTTACCTCCATTTCCAAAATTTTAAATATTAAAGCTTGAGTACGGTTGCCCACGCAAACCGAGAAATGGCACTTTATGACTCACAGAACGTGTCAATCAGTTCGAAGTCCTCAGTCGGGTAAGGCTGGTAGAGTTTGTAAATATTCGTGTGGTTTGGTGGGTGCTGGTAGCAAATATCCGTCAGGGTCCAGAACATCCGGTGTACGAATGGTAACTGGACCTTGAGGTGGTCTTGGCAAGGTATCTTGCTGGATGGATTTATCTTTAGCTTTCTCGAACCTCTCCAATATTTTTGGGAACTTGATTCTGTCTTTAGGATCCGTTTTCCAGCACTCTCGCATCAGCTGGCAGACGAATGGCGGACATCCTTCCGGTGGGATCAGCATTATTCCTTGTAATATTAACTTCAGTGCCTGGAAGTTGACATTTCATTTTTAATGGACAAATTTATAGAAACATGCTGATATATGATTTTATTAAAATAATAATAATAAATGTTATAAGTTGTTGAATTATTGACAGCAATTTTGGACAGAAATTTATTATAATTACAAATACTTATTGCATCTTTGTATAAGCTTAATAATAGAATTTATTAAATATTTATTGCATGAATCACTTATTACATTAACATCTTGTAAAAATTGTTTTTCATTTTTCAAAATAGTATTCCAAAAACTATAAAGCTTCTTAACAAATCATATGAACCAAAAATGATATAATACCTCCTCATTATTGTGTCCATAGTAAGGTTGTTTTCCAAAGGAGTAGACTTCCCATAAAACAACCCCAAAACTCCAAACATCACTTTCTAATGTAAAACGACCATACAGCAGACTCTCAGGAGACATCCATCGAACAGGAAGAACCCTAGAACCTCCTATCTATAAAACAATTCGACTCGTTCAATCTTCATCTTTGCACATAATCACTTTTTGCAATCGCTTTTAAAACAGTACCTTGTAGTAGTCACAAGTGTACACGTCTCGTGACATTCCGAAATCTGCGATCTTCACAACTAGGTTCTCGCCGACGAGACAATTTCTGCACGCCAGATCTCGGTGGACGAACTTCTGACCCGATAAGTAAGTCATACCGGCTGCGATCTGGATCGTGATCCAGTGTAGAGATTCCTGAAATAAGTCGAGAGCAAGTTTTAATTTCGTGGGTGAAATAAGAGGACAGTAGGGAAGAGGTCTCATTTGGGGCCTCACAGAGGAACATTTGATTTGTGGGATTCAATTTGAAGATGGATGTGGAGTGTGGAGATAGGAGTTCAGCTACTTGGGATTTAGGCAATTTGGGAATTTGGGACTTTCGGACTTTGAGATTTTAGGACTCTGCAATTTTGAAACTTGACAATTTTAGAACTTCACAACCTTGAAATTTAGGAACTTGGGAATTTGTACATTTTAAAATTGTAAAACTGTGGAACTATGAAACTATGAAACTCTGAAACTTTGAAACTTTGAAACTCTGAAACTTTGAAACTTTGAAACTTTGAAACTTTGAAACCTTGAAACCTTGAAACCTTGAAACTTTGAAACCTTGAAAACTTGAAACTTTGAAGCTTTGAAACCTTGAAACTTTGAAACTTTGAAACTTTGAAACTTTGAAACTTTGAAACTTTGAAACTTTGAAACTTTGAAACTTTGAAACCTTGAAACTTTGAAACCTTGAAACCTTGTAACCTTCAAACCTTGAAACCTTCAAACCTTGAAACTCTGCAACCTTAAAACTTTACAACCTTCAAACCTCCAAGCACCAGAACTTCAAAGCTTGAACTACAAAAAGTATTAACAATCACAAACCATGATGAGGTAATTAATAACCTGAGTTAAAGGTGGTAGACTTGGTTTCGGTGATCTAAGCTGTCTAGAGTTCGAGCGCAGAACTTCAGCAAGATCCCCATAAGGCATGAACTCGAAGACCATCCAAGGACTGCTGTTACCATCGCGGCGCACCACACCTTTCAACGACAAAATATTCGGATGATTAAACGAGGACATGTTGTCGACCTCTCTCATGAAGTCTTCTTCAACTTCGCGTGATGCGGTCTCCTTCAGGACTTTTATCGCGACGACCTCCGTCAAGTCTCCGACGTATAATTCTCCTGTGAAAATGAAGTAAAACATTTCATTATTATATATGTATAAATGTTCATTTATCAGTTATGGATATTAATTATTAATATGAAAGATCCTTGCAATTATTCGTGCTTTAGAATTAAATATTCTCAAGAAAGAAATCATCAACTCATTCTTCAAAGAACTCATATTATGTTAAAAATAAGTCTCATCAAAAGTTATTAAATATCCATGTATGCTTGACAAGGAGTCCTGTTTAAGGCCACCCAAGGCAACTCAAGATAAAATTTGCAAAATTTATTTATTTTAGTGTTATAAAATTTCATTTGTGAATAAAATGTTCATCACATCATTGTACTTGTAGAAAGTCTTCTAATTTTGTTATGGGTTAAATTATAGATAGAATTTATTATATGTATATGGATGAAATGTTGCTGGTACCTTTATACACTTTTCCGAAGCAACCCTCACCGATGTTTTGCAGGAGCACGAGAGATTCGCGTTGTAGAATCGGTACTCCCGGCGAAGGGCAGCTGAAATACTGTGGATTAGGTGTGTACTTATTCGGTAGGAGTACTCCCTTTTTTAGGTTCATTGGTGTTCCCTGAAGCGAACGTATGCAAATTATTCTTTATCGATTTGATTTTGACAAGCTAACGCTACTACAACGGGACTTTATTAAGATCTAAGAGCATCGAACCCCGATTTCATTTTTCTATTTTTATTGTCTGAATTTGGAGGATTTGGAGATCTGGGAATTTTGGGGAATTTTGGAGAATTTTGGGGATTTAGGAATTTAGGCAATTTGGGGGATTTGGGAGATTTCAAGAATATGGGGAATTTGGAGGATTTGGGGTATTTAGGCAATTTGAGGCATTTAGGGGATTTCAAGAATTTGGGGAATTTGGAGAATTTGGGGTATTTAGGCAATTTGAGGGATTTGGGGGATTTCAAGATTTTTGGGAATTTAGGCAATTTTGAGGATTTCAGGGATTTCAAGAATTTGGGGAATTTGGAGGATTTGGGGTATTTAGGCAATTTGAGGGATTTGGAGGATTTCAAGGTTTTGGGGAATTTAGGCAATTTGTGGGATTTGGGAGATTTCAAGGTTTTGGGGAATTTAGGCAATTTGAGGGATTTGGAGGATTTCAAGAATCTGGGGAATTTGGAGGATTTGGGTGATTTGGAGATTTCAAGAATTTGGACAATTCGGCAATTTGGAAATTTGGACATTTGGAGATTTATGGATTTGGTAATTTAGGGATTTGTGAACTTGAGAATTTGGAAATTAAAAAATTTAGAAATTTGTAAACGTGGAAATTTAGAAATTTGCCAATATGGAAATTTGAAAACTATCTGCCTTAGACATTCAGTAATTTCTACATTACGACACTTCCCTATATCTTCTTCCTCTCCATTTTCCCCCCAAAATATCCTACTCGACCCAACGAAAATACTAATTACCAATGCTCCTAATTACAATTACAATATGAGCAAGTAAACATACATCCAAAGAGTTCCTCTGCGATTTCACGTTATAACTCCGTTTCTTCACGCAGTACACTATGCTCAACAATATTGCTAATACCGCGACGAAAGCTAGTGCGATTCCTACTATTTCAGGTACCCTTTGTCTTGATCGCTCCACCTGTTGGGCAGTATGAAAATACTACAAACTATGTTTGCAAAAGATTGCACATGTACAAGTTAATTGGCATGCAATAACTAGAATCATTACTGAAAATAATTTACCTGTTCAGCTTCTGGAAGTGTGGTTGTGGTGTTGGTAAAGTTACCATTTGGGAGTATTATGTTAGGTATGGTTCGAGGCGTTAGGGGAACTGAAAAAGAAATCATTGTAATAAGTACTAAATCATTGAAACAAGAAGAAAATATTTTCTTTTGTTCTCTTGTTAAGAACTGTTTTTATTAACAAGGAGAATTGTTTTTATTAATAACGTTATTTTAGGTAACTTTAGTATAAAAATCAATATTTAAGTCTAGATAACAGAAAATTATACGTCACAACCACCACAAGATTGTTCTACACCACATTGACAGAGACCTATCAAAAAGAAACAAGTTGACCTTGACACTAAAGCTCAAGGTCAAATTATTTTATTGTCGCATCATGTAGTACTGATTGAGAGGATTAAAAGTTGTTAAGGAACTATATGTTAAAAATCAACCGTTTTCTTGCAGAATAACAAAGTTGACAGTACTGAATGTACAAGGTGTTACAGTAAGGAGCAAGGTTTATATAAAAGGAAAATTAAATTTGCTATGAAATTTCTTACTGGAAGCTTCATTTTGAAGAACTCTTAACTTTGAAAATCTAAAAATGCACATACACCACTTCTGTATTTAATTATCCTGAATTTTAATATAACTAGACTGTATACAATTCTACTGTATTTAATTAAACTTGTAAATTTTTAATTACACTAATTAACGTTCAAATTCAATTCTCCCAGAGTGTTTTACATATAAATTTCTCTACTTATATTTCCACATAAAATCGCCTTTTTAAATTTAATGTAGTCCCCTCTCTTAAAAGTTTAAGTCCTCTTCTGACTCCATTCTGTAATGTCAATATTAAAACTTCAAACTTAATTTCCAACAAAACTCTTCACATCTCATTCTACACTTCCTTTGCACTTTTCATCCTTTCAACAAGTACTAAACGATACGTCAATAAAATAATTTGACCTCGAATGTCAAGGTCAAGGTCAATGCATGTTAATCGTTTTTAGAAGGATTTTTATTGCGTTTGAACAGCTTGCGGTGTTTAGGTGTTCCACATCGTAAAATTCTTTTATAGCAGAAGAAATTCTGACCTATTGAACGATTCGGACATTTTAAGTCCATCGTTGGAGGGGATAAGTCGTGAGGGCAGACGCATTTGGACGTGTTGTCGTCGAAACTGCGACATGCGGCCTCTTTTCCACAGATGTGAGGTCGATCCTTGCATCTTGTGATCTCTGAGATCCCGTGGGCGGGCAGTAGCCTCTCTATTACTTCCGATTTTGGTGTCGACGTGCTCGTCAATGATTCTGAAACAAATTTATCATTAGTACAATTAGTACTAGTCAACAATTAGTACATGTTGACACTGTTGTATACTGCAGTAATTGACAACATCTCATCCAAAAAGAAGTTATTATAAAATCATTAAAATATGTCAAAGAACAAGATTTCTTTTACTTCTGACGCAGCATAAGATGTCTTAAAACCCTCTCAAGATTTCAAGATACTCCACTTGTCATAATTACCCTCCATAGGAAAATGCAAACAGGCACATACTTTATCGTCAGTCATTTTAAACAGTTATTCCCCAAATTATCTGCTAAAATTGTCTATGAACGTAAAATAAAGTCGTTTGCGTATTTATATCGACTGAGCCGATTCAGTACGTGGCAACCGTGGTCCCGCAACAAAATGGCCGCCTTAAGGTGAACCGGGCGGACTTAAAGGATGGACGGTTTAATAAAGGGCGTGCTGGTAAGAAAAAGGGCTACATATTTGGATTGGGTCCGACTTGGATGAGACAGTGAAGGCATTCATTTCGTGCTTGAAGCTTGTAACGGGTCAAAGCGTTATCTCTGCGGTCAGCGCCCCCCGACAACGAGTCTCGCTATGTGTACCTATTATCGCCCCCGTTATTCCCTGCCTGCCTATGCATCTATACGAGGATTTCATCGTTCTTCTACAGAATACCCGTGCGTTTCGATTTTCCTGAAAGACAACGGCCCACTTAAGGGAACAGAGACGATCCAGATATGTACTTGACCGCTTCTTTGATCGGAGGAACCTGTTGTGCCACATTACGTAGCGTTTATGAGGGATTTATGAGGGAGATACTAGTTTTGGGTGGTTGAGTTAGAACTGATGAGATACATTGAGTTAAATATTTGGGGATAATTTTGTTTAAGTTTCTTGGTATTTGGGTTCACTGAGTATTTGAGGTACTGATTTTATTTTTTTAAATTAGTTGGAACTGATGAAATGGGTGCATTCAGTTAACTGAGCATTAATATGTAGTGAATGGACTTTATGTAAGAATAATTTGTAAGAAGAGTTACAGAATTGTTCATAGATTAAATTAAGTTTAATTACAGGTTTGCAAGAAAATTTGTAGACAGCAAGCTCATAAATTAATTACAAAATCATAATAATAATTTACAAGTAGATTAATAGGTTGAAACAGGTGTTCCTGAAATGTCCACCCTTGAGTGAAGAAATTTTATTGAGCGACCTTGACATCAGTAAAGCACTTAAATTAAATAAGTAAACATTTGTAAAATTGTTAATATTAATAATTTATACAGAGCTTTCACCTTCACCCTAAATCTAATTGTAGCATACTAAAAATACTGAAAATTCCTATAACTAATTTAGAAAATAATTCTGGAACAGTATTACACAAAAGTAACTTTTCAGTTTACAAAAACAACAGTACAAGATTTTCCACAAGTAAAGAAGTGATTACAAAAAAAATGTTTATTGTAAAATAAGTTTCCTTGAATTTTCAGCAAACAATAAACGGCGAAAGTGTGTAATCAACAATGAGTGTCCTAGAAACTGCAATTCCACGAAAACTGATTTATCAAACGAACACGCGGAAGTGTGCGAATCGATCATCGTTTGCGAACTTTCCAGTTGCGAAGTATTCTGTTTAATAACAATATTTTTATTTCTGGATAATAACAGCGAGTTCGTCAACAATGTTGTTACCTACATCGTTGATGACCTCTGCACTGTGTCGTTATTCGTTGTACGTGGAAGCTGTCGATGGGTGAACGAATGACCCGTGATATCTTCTGTACTTTGACGCAAAGTTGTGGATAAAATTATCCTTGCCGTGATTTTCTATCAGGTTTATGATCATGTTAATTAGACGTAATTATGACTTGTTCGGGGTCTGATTCTTTTGGATTGGTAAACTAGTTTATGGTATTGATATTGTTTAATTAGGGAGAATGGAATTTATTGTTTAGAGTGTTTATGATGGTGGAATGGGGTTTTAAGTGATTCGGGATTCACAAGTTGTGTTTCATGGAATGTTAGGTTAGATTAGTAGAATTGTTAATATTCTGTGAAACTAAAATGAGTTGAATTTAGGGGTTCACAAGTTTTGTTCCACGGATTGTCAGGTTAGATCAGTAAATTTATTAATATTGCATGAAAGAAAAATAAGTTGAATTTAGGGGTTCACAAGTTTTATTCCACGGACTGTTAGATTAATCAATAAAATTATTAATATTCCATGAAAGTAAAATGAGTTGAATTTAGGGGTTCACAAATTATGTCCCACGGAATCTTAGAATTCTAAGTGAGTTTAATAAAATTATTAATATTCCATAATCAGAAGAAAGAAAAATGACTCAGAGACACACAAGTTGTGCCTCACAGAATTCTAGAATAGCTTAATACACTAACCAATATTTAAGATACGAAAGAAAGTAAAATGGCGTAAATTACGGGTTCACAAATTATGTTCCACGGAATCTTAGAATTCTAGGTAAAATTGATAACATTATTAATATTCCATAAACAAAAGAAAGCAAAATGTCTAAATTTGAGGACTTATAAATAGTATTCCACAAAATTTTAAGTTAAATTATTAAAATTAACATTTCACGCACAGAAGTAACCAAAGCAACTCAGATTAGGGGTTCACAAGTGATGTTCCACGGAATTTTAGGGCTATGTTGATAAAATCAGCCTTTGAGCTGTACAAATTGTTTACAAAGTCAACTAATTGTGTACAATTATTCACAACATCAAAGAATACATCAAGTTTCAAAAATTATTAACTTTTCATAGGAAAAAAGGATCGAACTGTCCCAAATCAGGGGTTTCCAAGTCATTCCCCACGGAATCCGTTCTCCTCTACAAAATTAATTCGTAAGCACTCACTAAAAACTTTAAAATACACAAACAATTAATCCAAACAAAATTTCACAAGATTCAAATAAAATCATTTAAAGAAAGATTAAATTAAATTAATTTAAATAAAGTTTCACAAGTAAATTCACAGGTAACAATGTTATTTCGTTTGTTTTGAAGATTTTTAGTCGGTCAAGTAATCGGTAAGTAATTTGCAGTTGCGCAAAGTAATTAGTGATGATTTTAATTGATTTATTACTGAAATTAACTGATAAACAAAACTACACCCGTCAGTTCTGTGAACATATCTTGAGCGATCTCGTTTTATGGGGGACGATGCAGTTTCGGAGGATGAACCACCCGCGCACATAATGCCGCTATTGTATTCTGGTCTAAACCTCGGATTTGCAAATAAATGTGGTTGCGTATATACCTCTGTTGAATACCCTTCAGTTTCCGAAAGTTTTGAAACAAGTAGTTTCTGTTTTTCGAATTGTTTAACATGGTTATGTTACATCTACTCAATTGTTTATCTTTTCAATTGTTAATTATTACTTATCTTAATAGTTATAATTTTAAAAAAGATATTTGCTGAAAAGTTACCTAAAAATTTGTTTATAAATTGTTAAGTAAAATTAATACAAAATTTACTTATTACTAATTAATAAAAAATATTCAAAATTTTATTTTAGTGGTCTAAGTGAAAATTCTTTAACAAGAATTTTATATGGGCTGTTATTTATTAAAAATAGTGTAATAATAAAATGTGGGGAGTAACAGTTAAGTTTCTTTATTTTAATCTACTCACTTCAGTCACTTTTGAAAAATAAATATTAAAAATATTAAGACACCACAAAATAAATCAACTATATTATACACTGAGTAATTTTTAAGGAATCTACATTTAAACTATTTAAAAATATCATCAGAATAAACAAAATAATATTTGTAAATATTTAACTTACACTAGTTAAAGAAATTAATAAAAATATAATTTTACAAAAGTTGTTTCCAAGAATGACTCAATATTTATTTATTTTCATAGGATTTACTTTAAATATGTTTTTGTGGCAAGATGTCCAATCAAGAGCTTGTAAGGTCGTAAAAATACGATGAGCCGTGTTACGACACTCAAAGGATTAACATGATGATGAGCAACTCCCTTTCTTCCCTTTCGACGATGTGTCATCGGTGGTACTTGTTTGTAATATAATCCCAAACAAACAATGACTCGAGGCTACTGATTTGATGTTTTCTTCCGAAATTTCTTCAATACATTTTAAAGCTTAATTTTTATTGATACTTTGTCACGTGTTATGGTTTGCTGACTAATTTTAGTTCATATGGAAATGTAAGGGCACAAGTATCATGATACAAGTATAATGATACAAGTATAATGATGCAAGTATAATGATGGAAGTATGATGATACAAGTATGATGATACAAGTTTAATGATACAAGTATAATCATACAAGTTTAATAATACAAGCATAATGATACAAGTATGATGATACAAGTATAATGATGCAAGTATAATGATGCAAGTATAATGATGCAAGTATAATAATATAAGTATGATGATACAAGTATAATGATACAAGTATAATGATACAAGTATGATGATACAAGTATGATGATACAAGTATAATGAAACAAGTATAATGATGCAAGTATAATGATACAAGTATAATAATACAGGTATGATGATACAAGTATGATGATACAAGTATGATGATACAAGTATAATGATGCAAGTATAATGATGCAAGTATAATGATGCAAGTATAATAATATAAGTATGATGATACAAGTATAATGATACAAGTATGATGATACAAGTATAATGATGCAAGTATAATAATACAAGTATAATAATACAAGTATGATGATACAAGTATAATGATACAAGTATGATGATACAAGTATGATGATACAAGTATAATGATGCAAGTATAATAATACAAGTATAATAATGCAAGTATGATGATACAAGTATAGTATGCAAGTATACTGTTACAATTTATTTAATATACAAGTATAGAACATAATAATCAAGTACAAGAAATATCTAGTTATGTGACTATGAATAAAACCAAAAATATCTCTCATTATGTTAACTAATTTTAATAATACAATATTCTATCATAAGAAACATAGTATGTTATTTCTTATAATAAAGTACCCATTGCAATGTAAATAAAATGAGTAAAAGGGTGATGTTAATTAAAATGAAAATATTATTAAAAAAATAATTAAATGAGTGAAAGAGTGTTAGTAGAAGTTGATTATACAATAAGTACACTATTGCAAAAATTGAAAAATTAATTTTGGTTTATGTGAAACAATTAATCATGTTAAAATTAATGTAAAAGAGATTTGAGATTTGAGGCTTAATGTAGCTAAATTTGTACGTATAAAACTGATAAAACTGATATTTTTAGTAGCATACTTGATATCATTAATATATTATACAGGGTGTGTCGAAAAGATATCACATATTACAAGTTAGTAAGATTGCAACGTGTTTCAATAGCTAAAGAAAATTAAATGGACTGAATTAATGTATAATTAACGAATCAAAGAATAATTCATTAATTTTTCTAATCTTCTTTGAGGAAGCATATAAAATGAGTTATAATAATTGTGGATGTGATCTGATCATTTATAGTATAATTAGTTATAGTATAATTATAATTTATAGTACAATTAAAAGAATATATTATGTACAATTAAATGTACAATTAAATTAACGATACTCGTATCCTTAACCGAAGAGGTTATGTTTACGTAATCAATAAAATGAATATTAATATATTAATACTAGAAATTTATAGTTTAATGACAAAATGTTTCATGTTCATTAAAATTCATGTAAAATCACTTTCCTCCAAATTGTGAAGCACTTTAGGTTAGGTTATCAACCAAATATATTAAACGTTATCATCCATAAACTTAATATCAAATTATAACAAATTATTCTTCACTACATAAAAGATAACGAATCATATTAAAACATACTTTAAAACGTTTCCTCATAACTAATAAATTGCAATTAATTTTATGTCCAAGATTTTTGTTAATTATTCGTTTGTTTACATTGCATATCGTCTTTATTGTCACTCGATATTAAGCTGCACACGTGGTTATCATCTTAGGTTAACTTTATCAGAAAGGTCGAACAAGTCGATATTAAAGATAAAAGTTAGAAGTCAGAAAAACAGGGTCATTTTTTACGTCCTTTTTTTTTTCTCCTTCGCTTTTCGAGAAGCGGTTGACCATTTGTTCCAATAGAGATACGGGTAAATGTGGCTTTATCTTTTCGACATTATGACTCGTACTTGAACCCATTTCATTTTCAACGTATTTATGGAACGAAACCAGAGAAGATTCTGCACGAAGGCGGTTTACTGTCATTTATAAATATAAATTTTCTATTTCTATGTTGTACTTGAGTGAAAACAAAATGGAGGATCTGCTTCACATGAATGTTTTGGTTTGAACATTTTTTGACGATGGAGAAAGAATTTGTGATTAAATGAAGTAAATTTTAATCGAAGAAAATTTTATTTGAGATTGATATTTGTTTAAATAATTTTAGTATTGTTAATAATACTGTACTAATCACTAGTTAGTACTAGTTAGTATTAATTATTAATACTAACTGTATTAGTTCTGACGCTGTTCAAATGTAAATTTTGTAAGGTTAGAATCCATCACAACTTCTCAACAATATTAACAACTTTTTAGAAAAAATCCATTACTACTCTATACAAAAATACATAATAAAACAATGTAGAAAACTTATTTAAAAAGCAAGTCACCTTAAGATTTCAAAAACCTGCACCCAATATGATTTATTTATTTAACAATGTTATTCCTTCGAAATTCTTTAGACAACTTGAAAGATGTTTATTGTAACTATGAAAGTAGTAGGGAAAATTATAGAGAATTCACGATACAAATAGATATTACCGACAATTTGATTGCACGATGCGTTACCAGGAAATCATGACTTGGAAACTTGTGTCAGGAAATTATCGTTAGAAAAATTATCAGTGACTCCACCCTATAAATTTACAATTCGACTACCATATCACTTATTTTCATCTGTATGAATAGAGTATAAATTAATGAAAAACATTTGTATATAGTTTTTTAATAAGTACTGAATGTTAATATTAATGATTGTATAATTTTAATACTAATAATGTTAGTACTAATAGTGGTATGACATTGATGCTAACAATAGTATAAAATTAATGCTAATAATAGTATAATGTTAATAATAATAATAGTATACTGTTAATAATAATAATTACTACTAGCAACAATATAATATCAATCTCAACAATAATTAATAAGATATGAAATTTATAAATGACAGTAACAAAAATTAACAAATGATAAATGGTGGCAAACAAGTTTAATAAATAGTTAAGCAATATTAAACACTTTAATAATACATAATAATTAGAATTAATAGTAAAATTACAAGATTAATAGTAAAGATAATAAATATTAACAATCATTGCTTTCTACGTCACTGAAGATTTTCAAAATCAAAACAAATAATGAATCATATCCACATTTAACAATCCATTTAATTTATTCCAATTTATATTTATCACGTATGTAACAATTTTCACGTCAGATGAGTACGTATAATATTTCATCTCCGCAACTCTCGGTTTTCGCGATCTTTTCAAGAAATGGCCACACAACGCCAGTCTGTTCCCTGGCTCATTAAACTAACGATTACGACTCGTGTATTGGCAAATCGTAATTCAAATATTATCCAATTTAAATCAATCCTTTCAATAAGAGTATATACTCGGCCATTTTGTTCCTACATTTTCGTACTTTCAATATTTTCAAATATTTCATACTTTTTTCTTGATCTCTTATCTTCTTTTACTTATTTTACTTCTTTTACTTGTAATATTAACAATTTTCGTTTTAATAACAAGTATTAATTTTACGTAGAAATCGTTTTCTATTAAAACTCTTATTTTCGTGAAATCGTCGCTCGATTATCAGATGCAATATTATTTACCAGCTTCTTATCACAAAAGTAAAATCAACCTTTGAACGTTTCGATATTCCCGTTGTTTATAAACAAGACTAATTATGCAAGTTCTTTCTATGGAACATTTTGAGTGCTAAACTTTCTCAAAATTAATTCTGTAGTGCAAAGAAATTCTGCATCAGAAAATTAAAACCAACATGTGAACGTTTCGATATTTGCCTTTGAACGCTTTGATATTAGTTGTTTATAAGCAAGACACACAAATTATGTAAATTCTTTCTGTGGAACATTTTGAGTGCTATACTTTCTCAAAATATATTCTGTAGCTCAAAGAAATTCTGTATTGGAAAAGTAAAATTAACTTTTGAATGTTTCGATATTTGCGTTTGAACGTGACGATATTTGTCTATAAGCAAGACACATAAATTATGCAAGCTTTTTCTATAAAACATTTTGAGAACTTTCTTAAAATAATAAATTTTGTATTGAAAAGAAAATTTGCATCAGAAAATGAAAATCAACATTTGAACATTTGCCTTTGAACGTTTCGATATTTGCTTTTGAACGTTTCGATATTATTTGTCTATAAGAAAAACACACAAATTATGCAAGTTTTTTCTATAAAACATTTTGGAAACTTTCTTAAAATAATAAATTTTGTAGTGAAAAGAAAATTTGCATCAGAAAATTAAAATCAACATTTGAACATTTGCTTTTGAATGTTTCGATATTTGCCTTTGAACGTTTCGATATTATTTGTCTATAAGAAAGACACACAAATTATGCAAGTTTTTTCTATAAAACATTTTGAAAACTTTCTCAAAATAATAAATTCTGTATTAAAAATTGTTGACGATCTTCAATGCATAATAAAACTAAAAAACGAACCAGTCCGAGTTTCCGCAGAGGATAGTCCTCTTCTTCTCGGCATCCTTCGTTCCATCGCTAATCCCGTATTTCAGAAAACCCCGTCCTCAAAAACCAACACTTCACAAAAACGTTCGTTTCCCAAACTCCATCGTCAATTCCCAACAAAATTCATAAACTTTCACATTGTAACACACTTTTCTCTAATAATTCATGTCACAAATCCAATACAGCACGAGATTTATCGAATTTCCCATTTGGGGGTCGCACAGAGGTGTCGTCGAAACGTAAGCCGGAAGAGGAAGTGGTACTAGGATCCTCTATCTTCGACGGATGCTTATTCGTAACTAAAGAACGACTAAAGACCGTCTTCGAGAACTCCCTCGCATTGGAACACAAAGAAACGCGCACACCAAGACACACGTACAGGACGGTTTTCATGAAACGCACACGCATTTCGAGCAAGGATTTACGCGGGAGAGTGGTTCATCATCGAAGACTCGACCTACGCTATCGAACAAGCAATAGCGACGTTTCCTCGTAATCTCATTTGCTTTTTCAGTCGACTTAAGGGTAGAGCCTGTTTTCTTCGGATTTAATCTATGACACGTGTCAACTTATGGCTGCACCCTTGAATATTATTTTTGTGGCGCTTATGGCGCTTTCGAGCACTTCTGAGGACTACCTGTTTCTGGATTATTGAGGATTTTTTTTGGAATTCTTGAGATTTTGGGAGATTGATTTATCATAGGATTTGTTGGAAGTGTTGCATATTTTGGGACTGATGTTTCTTAGAAGTTTTGGGAGTGGGAGGATTTGTTGGATAGGGATTTTTTAGAATTTGTGGGTTATTAGTGAGCAGATTGATTTAACAATGATATGTTGGGAGAAGATTTATTAATAATTTAGCAGAAATTTTGGACCATGAGTAGGAGGATTTATTGGTTAGTGATATTTTTAGTATTTATTAATTATTAGTGAGAAGATTGATTTATTAATAATTTAGTAGAAATTTTCGACCATGAGTAGGAGGATTTATTGGTTAGTGATTTTTTTAGTATTTGTTGATTATTAGTGAGATGATTGATTTATTAATAATTTAGTAGAAATTTTGGACCATGAGTAGGAGGATTTATTGGCTAGTGATTTTTTTAATATTTGTTGATTATTAGTGAGAAGATTGATTTATTAATAATTTAGTAGAAGTTTTGGACCATGAGTAGGAGGATTTATTGCCTAGTGATTTTTTTAGTATTTGTTGATTATTAGTGAGAAGATTGATTTAATAATGGCATTTTGGAATCTTTGAATGTTTAGGAGAAGATTGATTTATTAATAACTTATTAGAAGTTTCAGTAGGAGGATTTATTGGATAGTGATTGCGTAGAATTTGTGGATTATTAATGAGAAGATTGATTTAATAATGATATTTTGGAATTTTTTAATGTTTAGGAGGAGATTGATTTATTACTAATTTATTAAGACTGTAGATCGTTAGTGGGAGGATTTATTGGATAGCGATTGCGTAGAATTTGTGGATTATTAGTGAGGAGATTGATTTATGATATGTTGGAAGTCTTGAAACTTGTGGGAGAAGATTGATTCGTCAGTGAATTTTAGAATTTTTTAATTATTATTGGAAATATTTATTAATGATTTGGAGGATTCGTTCCAATTTTCGCATTATCAAGTTATGAAATTGTTAAATTATGAAATTTGTGAACCACCCAATTATCAAGTTCTCAAATTTTCATATTCAGAAATTCTTAAATTCTCAAATTCCCAAATTTTTAAACTTGCAAAGTCACAAATTCTGGAAGCCTTAAATTCTCAAAAATTTAATCTTGCAAAGTCCCAAATTTTGAAAGCCTCAAATTCTCAAATTTTTAAACTTGCAAACTTCCAAATTCTGAAAGCTTCAAATTCTCAAATTTTTAAACTTGTAAACTCCCAAATTCTGAAAGCTTCAAATTCTCAAATTTTCAAACTTGCAAAGTCCCAAATTCTGGAAGCCTCAAATTTTCAAATTTTTAAACTTGCAAACTCCCAAATTCTGAAAGCCTTAAATTCTCAAATTTTCAAACTTGCAAAGTCCTAAATTCTGAAAACCTCAAATTCTCAAAAATTTAATCTTGCAAAGTCCCAAATTCTGAAAGCTTCAAATTCTCAAATTTTCAAACTTGCAAAGTTCCAAATTCTGGAAGCCTCAAATTTTCAAATTTTTAAACTTGCAAACTCCCAAATTCTGAAAGCCTCAAATTCTCAAATTTTCAAACTTACAAACTCCCAAATTCTGAAACTTTGAAATTCAAATCTCCATATTCCCAATCTCATAAATCTCCAAAATCTCTAAAATCATTTATCACTAAATTTCCAAAATATCAAATTATCAAATTAACAAATTACCAAATTACCAAATTTTTCAAGTTGCACCATACAATAATGTATAATATGTTAACTCAACTAGTTATGACATAAATATTCAATATTAATATACACTATTTAACATTAATATTAAAATGTTAATGTGAAGCTTCATGTCCTTCAAATAACCTTAATCAAAAAAACAAACTACTATAAACAATTTTTGCTATTTCAACAAATTTATTAACAAATGATCGTAACAAATTATTTGAAGTACTATTACCTGACATTCAACGAATAAATAATAAATGTATTATGATACATGCAATTTTTATGCTATTTGCAACAACATAAACTGATCACCTCGATCGTTAAAATCAAACATCTCGTTCAGTATACAAAGATCCTTAACAATTCGAATTGAATGAAAAGAATACAAAATTTTATAAAACTGTGGCTTCCATTGTTTCAGTTGTTACTATCACCACCGACACGTAATAAATATTAATCGAATTGTCTTTCTGCTCCAACAACATTGACTGGCAGATATATGGCAAGCTCGAAATCTAATCAATTTGATATGCAGAGAAACAATGATCAATTAGGAAAACATTGATTAATTAGAAGAGTTCGTCGACACGATGCTCGTTATACTTATGTTTTATAGAATTTCAGGTAAATAATTAATAATATTGCGCTTTGAAATAGCGTTTTAAATTATGAGCAACCATTGCTGTGCATCTTGATTGAGATCTGTGATGTAATACATACATTTTCATTTTAATGTTACTCAGTTATTATTTATTTATTTTAGTTTATTATTTATGGGTTTGTTATTAATTTTATTATTTGATTTGATGGTATTTAGTTAGTTGAGGTATTTTGTTTATTGTTTAGTTATTTTGTTTGTATTTAGAGTAGATTAGTTAGCTAGTTAAGTTGTTAGTTAGTTATATGGGGATTTAGAGGAAATTAGGGATTTGGAAATTTAGGGGTTTGAAATTTAGAGATTTGGAAATTTAAGGATTTGGGAACTTAGAGAGTTGGAAATTTAGGGATTTGGAAATTTAGGGGTTTGGAAATTTAGGGGTTTGGAAATTTAGGGGTTTGGAAATTTAGTGATTTGGAAATTTAGAAATTTGGAAATTTAAGGATTTGGGAATTTAGGGAGTTGGAAATTTAGGAAATTTAGGGGGTTGGAAATTTAGGGATTTGGAAATTTAGGGGTTTGGAAATTTAGGGATTTGGAAATTTAGAAATTTGGAAATTGAAGGATTTGAAATTTTAGGGATTTGGAAATTTAAGGATTTGGGAATTTAGAGAGTTGGAAATTTAGGGATTTGGAAATTTAGAAA